ACCATTACTACTGTTAGAAGTAAAACTGACAAGACAATGTCAAAGATATAAAGGAGACTTCAATTTGACAAGAGCCACAAAATCAAACAATCAGGAAAGGAACAATTTATATGAATTAGAGAATCAGGAAAAGGTAGGAGACTTAGCATTTTCTTCAGTGTAGAGTGCATGCCTTCCAAAAAATAAAAATAAAAAAGGAAAAATAATGTACAGTGTGTAGAATGCTATAATATAGTGATTTAAACCAATATAGTGGTTTAAGAATAAAAGGTCAAAGAACATTGGACTCATTAGGGTAAGGATAATTTGGGAAGGGGTTTTCAGTGGACTCAGACGAGGGAGGAATCTTAGGCTCAAGAGAAAGAATCTGAGGGGGTGATAGCATGCACTAAGAAGTCTACATGTCAAAACAGACAGTAAATGCTGATGAGAAGTGGGACAGCTGAGCTGGAAAGACTGTAACGGACATGAAAAATTAGGCCAAGTATTTTTAACTTTCCAGTGGTAGAAAAAAAAAAAAGAAAATTCTTTTAAGAGGTTAACTTTGGTAATCTGTCCCAGATTCACCCTTATAGAAAGAAAGTCTGGTCTATCTTTTATTGCACTGACTTATTTGTATGTCTGTTCATGAACTATGTACATAGAAGTCAGAAGACAACTTATGGGAGTCTGTTTTCTCTTTCTATCATGTGGGTGCTGAGGATAGAACTCAGGTCATCAGGATTGGCAGCAAGGGCTTGTACCAGCTAGCCCATCTTACTGGTCCCAATGTGTATGCCTGTGTGTTTTTTAAGGGTTGTGGATCAAATTCAGCAAGACTTCTGTCTTCCCTCCCTCTTTTTGAAGTACTGGGTATTGAGGCTTAAGTTTCATGTCTTCAAGGCAGGTACTCTACAGCTCCAGTATTTTTGTTTTCTTGCAACTCATTCTGTAGACCACGCTGGCCTCCAACTCACAGAGATCCACCTGCCCCTGCATACAGAGTTATGGGATCAAAGGTGTGCTACCGCTGCCTGGTTGCTCCAGCATTTTCTTGTTTTGATTAATTGATTTTGAGACAGGGTTTCTCTGTAGCTCTGTCTGCCTCTGCCTCTCAAGTGCTGAGATTAAAAGTGTGCACCACCCCTGGCCAGTTTCTCCAGGATTTTCAATGCATCAGTTTTCTTTTTGCTCATAGCAATGTAAGTTGGCCAGTGAGGTATCTCAGCAGGTAAAGGTACCTGCCTCCATGCCTGACAACCTAAGCTGATTCCCAGTGGTCCACATGATGGGAGAACCAACTCCTGCAAGTTATTACCCACATCTGCACACCCACCACACACACAAAAGCAAATACATGCATTAAAAATATAGATCTCGCCGGGCGTTGGTGGCACACGCCTTTAATCCCAGCACTCAGGAGGCAGAGGCAGGCGGATCTCTGTGAGTTCGAGGCCAGCCTGGTCTACAGAGCTAGTTCCAGGACAGCCTCCAAAGCTACACAGGGAAACCCTGTCTCGAAAAACCAAACCAAACCAAAACAAAACTGTTCTACACAGAGATGGCTTCTTGGTGGTTAACAGTATTTGCAGTTCTTTCAGGGGACCCAACCCTGATGTCAGACACACTCTCCTACCCCCATGGAAATAAAAGCTTTTTTTTTAATCTTAAAATTACATTATTTATAGTGTGTGTGTGGGGAGCGCAGAGATCAGAGGACAGCTTATAGCAATCAGTCTTGCCCTTTCACCAGGTAGTTCCAGGTTGTCAGGCTTGGTAGGTGTTCTTACCTAAGGACTGCACCAGCCTTAGATAGTATTATTTATATTTTATTTCCTTATAGATAATATCTTTTCCTTAAGCCAGATAAACTCCCTTAAATAATTCCAATATGGTATCTATCCTAATAACAATTAAAAACTACATTTAGGTCAGGTATAGTGTTGTATTACTGTAATTCCAGCATTTGGGAGGCTGAGGCAAAACAGAAAAACATTTAAATCCTGATAGAGTGGTGCATAACAGTAGCCCCAGTTTCTTGGAGAGACTAAGGGGCAGATTTTAACCCAAAGAGTTTAAGAACAGCCTGGGCAACACAGTCTTGTATTTCAAAATAGGAGAGGATGGAGTTAGAGAGCTCAGTAGTTAAATGCATTTGTTGCTCTTCTAAAGGACCTGAGTTCTGTTCCCAGCATCCACAACCTCTTGAACTCCTGGAGCTGTCTTGGGGTTACTATTGCTGTGATGAAACCCTATGGCCATGGCAATGTATACAATAAAGCATTTAATTGGAGGCTTGCTTACAATTTCGGAGGGGTAGTCAATGATCAGCATGGTTAGGATTGTAGCAGGCATGTACTGGAGTAGCAGCAGAGAGTTCACATCTGATCTAACCCCCAGGTAGGAAGCAGAGAGTCAGATGGCCTAGTGTGGGCTTTTGAAACCTCAAAGCCCACCTTCAGTAATATACCTCCTTCAACAAGGCCACGCCTCTTAATCCTTCCACAACTGGGAACCAATCATTCAATTATATGAGCCTATGGGGGCATTCCCATTCAAATCACTGCAGGCACCAAGGTCCTCTCCTGGCCTCCAAAGGCACTTGTACTCATGTATACAAAACAACGCATAGACACAGAAAATTAGAAATAATCTTTTTTTTTTTTTAAAGGAGAGGAAGAAAAGGAAAGGAAGATGGAAACTGCATTTAAATTCTGCTTAGTTACAAGAAAAAAAATCCACAGCTGAGGAAACGGCTCAGTCAGTAAAGTACTAACATGCCATGCAAACATTAGGACTGAGTTCAATCCTCAGAACCCATGTATAAAAGCTGGCTGTGACAGCACGAGTTTTTGTTTTGTTTTGTTTTGTTTTTGTTTTTACGAGACAGGGTTTCTCTATTGTTTTGGAGGCTGTCGGTCCAGACAGGTCTCGAACTCACAGAGATCTGCCTGCCTCCCGAGTGCTGGGATTAAAGGCGTGCGCCACCACTGCCTGGCGACAGCATGAGTTTTTAATTCCAGCTCTGGGAATGCAGAGACAAATAGACTGGTCGGCCAGCCTAGAAGTGCCTTTGAGTCTGAGGCCAGTTAGAGACCCTCTCTCAAGGAAAATCAGGGTAAAAGGTACAACATCTAAGGTCTACTTCTAACCTCCATGTATCTGTGTGTACCCCCTCTGCACAACAAGTACCTTCTTCACACACAGACACACAGACCTGTACTTGCGTTATGTTGACACTAAGTCTGGTAAATGCCTGCAAGCACTTGTATTTCTTTTTGTGTGTTTGTGTGGTTAGTCAAAAACCTGCTAAAATCTGCCCCAATCATTGCAGCTATTGCATTAACTAGTTACCATTATATGCTATTATACAAGATTCAAGAGAAAACACATTCTAATTACTTTTCCTCTTAGCTGTGAACATTTTCTCCACCACTCAATCAAAATTAAAAACCAGTGGGGTGTATTGGCACACATTCGTAATCACAACCCTAGTGAGGTAAAGTCAGGTGGATCATGTTTGAAGTCAGCCTGGGTTATGGAGACCTTGCCTCAAAACACCACAAAAAACAAACAAACAAAAAACCCAAAACTAAAAAATTTAGTGTGTAACAATATCTTACTGCTATTAGTATGCCAATATACACAACAAATGTCCAGTGGTTTAGATAACAAGAAATTATAATAGAGGTTAAAAAAAATGAGCTATTCAATTTTTTTTTTTTAAAGGCATGGTTTTACCGTGTAGCCAAAGCCCTGACTGGCCTACAATTTGCTTCTAAATGACAGAGATCCATTTACCTGCCTCTGCTCTACAGTGCTGTCATTAAAGTTTTGCATTACTATGCCAGGCAAGTTAGGCATTCTGAACCTACTTGCATTTCCTTTTTGCCAGCTAAAGTGTCTAATTTATTGTCTAATTTACAGTTTTGAAAATCAATTCTCAGTAATTAAGATCTGTAAAAGACAAACAAAAATGTCAACCAACCACTTCACCAGTTAAGGAGAGTTGGCAAGAATATAGAAGACATCATTTTCATGAGTCTTTGTGAGTTTTTTTTTTTCTTTTTAAGTTTCTTGACACAGGGTTTCTCTGTGTAATTTTTGTGGCTGTCCTGGAACTAGCACTGTAGAACAGGCTAGCCTCAAACTCATGGAGACCTACCTGCCTCTGCCTCCTGGGTGCTGGGATTAAAGGCGTGCACCACCAAGGCCTGGTGAGTTTTTACTCTACAGACTGGCCTGGAACTCATTAATTAGCTCAGGGTAGCCTCAAATTTGCAGCAATCCTGCCTTTATTTCCCAAGTGCTAGGATTAGAGATGTGCACCACCACATCAAGACTTTAGAATTTTGTAGTACAATGGAAAATTCAGGATGCAAATAAATACGAAGATACATTCATACAATAGAATAAATATACAGAAATGCACAAGCAATCAGCTTATATGTACATAAATATTATATAGACTAGCAACTATATACACACATATATTCTCTACCTATCTCAAATCAAATTTTTTTAATCCAAGTTCTAAATGACCCAAAAGTGTAATATTAAAGAGTTAATTTTACTCTCAGGTTTACAGGTATCTCTATAATCAGGAAAAAGTTCCACATTTAAAAAAAGAAAAGACTTTTTTTTAAATGTAGGAGTGCTTTGCCCCCCCCACACCCTGAACATGTGTATGTCTGGTGTCTGCAGTCACTGGATACTCTGGAACTGGAGTTACAGACAGTTGTGTGCTGGGAAGCAAACTAGGGTTTTCAGCAAGAACAGTAAGCACTTCTAACTGCTGAGCCATTATTCCACCTCCATAGTTATTTTTTCTTTCTACATCTCAAAATTCTAATTCTAGTATGCTCACAAGCAAGATTAAGAAAAAGAACTGATATATATCAAATCCAGTATTTAACAGGGCCACTGTTGTTTGTCCTACATCTTTCTTATTCATTATGTTCTATTTATTCAGTGACAAGTTCTTCAACCAACACAGCAACCCTAAGTCCGAAACTACATACCTGGGAGCTAAGTTGCTTAGGCTCATCCATTCTCCCAGGAGACTCACTTCTGGCTCTGTATCTTTCTGTCATGGAAACAACACTGCCGGAAGGACTAAATCTGTTGGAAAAGGAGCATAAAGGGGACTAATAGACAAGTAGTGCCAAAGAACTTGAATGCTGTTTCTCCTCTCTATCTTATAGCTCAGGAATAAGACTAAATCAAACAGAAATATTTTCAGACTGACAAAGGAAATAGACCATAAGAGAAGGTGAAGGCTACACATAAGCTTTCTACTCTACTGAAAAGGGAGTAAAAACAAACATGAAACCCAGTCTATAGTTTTGTGTTGCTTTTATGAGTTATGGTCTTGCTGTGAAGCCTTGGATGGCCTGGCACTCACTACACAGGCTAGGCTCCTTCTGGTTCAATCTCCCATGTGCTAGGATTCCAGACATGCTCCATGATGCCTGGTGATTTTGGTTCTTGTATGTTAACTATTGAGGTTTTGGCTGTTCTTTCTCTTATGGTAATCCACTCATAGTTCATATAGACTAAGGTTTTTGTTTTTTTCTCATTTAAGGAGGTACTACTTCTGATATAGTTCTAATGCAGGAGGACAACAGTTGCCAACACTGGGAATGAAAAATATATTCTGTGCTCCAGAATATTAAGACCATTAAGGTCACAAGATGGGAAATACTCAAATCAAAATGACCTATGTGGTTAAAATATCCTACTAAATGTCTACATGATCAGCTATACACAAAAGAAATGAGTTAGTTGGTTTTAATTGCTCCCAAGATCACCCAAGATCAATTTCACATTTGTTTATGAGAGGCATGTGTGTAGAGGTCAGACAACAACTTATTAGAGTCCATTCTTTCCTTCTGCCATGTGGGGCCCAGGGACTGAACTCAGATGGTCAGGCTTGGCTCTAAGTGCCTTTACCCATGTCAACCTATCTCAAGCAGGGAAAAGAACAAGCCAGCCTGTAATCTAGGGCCTGGGTGCCTATGGCAGGAAGAATGCATGAGTTTGCAGCCAACCTAGGCTATACAATAAGCCAGACTATCTTGAACTATGGGTTAAGACCCTGTCTCTAGCCATCCTTTAATCCCAGCACACGGGAGGCAGAGGCAGGCGGATCTCTGTGAGTTCCAGGCCAGCCTGGTCTACAGAGCCAGTTCCAGGACAGCCTCCAAAACAATACAGAGAAAACCCGCCCCCCCCCCCAAAAAAAGACCCTGTCTCTAAAAACAAAAAACAAAAACCAACCAAAAAATCCAAACATGATCTGGGCAGTAGTGGTATACTCCTTTAATTCCAGTATTTGGGAGGCATAGGCAGCCTGGTCTACAGGAATGAGTTCCAGGACAGCCAGAGATACATAGAAAAACCCTGTCTCAAAACCAAAACAAAAAAACAAACAACAACAATAACAAAATCCAAACATGGTGGCTCATGCTAGTAATCCCAGTACTCAGGAGGCTGAGGCAGAAGGATTGCCCTGGGTTCTAGAACAACCTTGGCTATAGAAACCTTTTCTCAATAAATAAATAGGTGAAGATAAAAATGAACATCCAATGTTACCAATCTAAACCAGTATCATTTTTCTTTGAATTGACTAAATGAAAGACATTGCTATTTCCATCAAAAGGAAATGTTCTAACAGATTTGGTATAGTAGGAAGAAAACAGTGAAGACCATAGGCCATGGCAGCACTGGTGAGGACACTCTCAGGCCTAAGGTAGTAGCAGCTTCAAGGGTATATATCATCACTAGGTGAGGGGACACTTGAAAAACATTGAAAAGGCTTTTCTCTACAATTATTGTACTATATTTACACTAATTTGAAAAAGAACAATAACTCATGGTACCAGGCTTTCTCTAACTTGGTGCTAAGGGCAAAGAGAAATAATATACAGTGCTATAAGGAAAGTAAAACTTCCCAAGTTTACCTACCTGTGTGATACTACAATTGAGAAAGGGCAATGTTACCAGACATCTTCTGACAATCAGCTCCTTGCCTAGAATCCAGAGAGAGCCCTGGCAATTACTGATTCTAGAGTGGCTGCAGATGCTACCTGATTCATAGAAAAGGCTGATTTTTACCATAGCTCTCATAACACTATGAATACTTCAGAACTTGGAGCTTCCTGTTTTGAAAAAATGCAAGTCTTTTGGCATGTTTCCAGTCTCTCAAAGTAAGTTGAATGAGAACATCAGGTAAGAAAAATGTTCTCTGTAACACAGAAGGCTCATTTAATGTTTACACAATAGGTTTAAATGGGAAAACAAAACTTACCTGTCAACTTCACTGCTGGTTGGCCGAGCTACCTTGGTGTCTAAAGACCCTAGAGTATAACTTTCCTGTCCTATAGAACCGTGGCCTGTGGTGTCAATCACCATGGCTGTGACTTCCTCTGCACTACTCCCATCTTCTCCCGAAGGCTGATTCTCTGGCCCAAGCCACTCTTCCAGGTTTTCAGTTTTGATGTGCACTGCTCCAAGGACCCTAACTTCATCTCCGCTCCGTGCCCCCTGGTCTGCTAGTCCTGTCTCCACGTACCACTGTCCTGCTCTGTTGATTCGAAGAATGGACTCCCGGCTCTCTACATCAGAACTCTGTTCAATTATCTGAGGACTGGTGGACTCCTCAGGGGGACTGAACTCTCTGATATCCAGCACAGCACTGACCTGTCCCCTCCAGTTTCCCTTTGCAGCATTATGTCGTGGGCTAAGGGAGCGGTTTAGAGTTGGTGTAACCCTGTGAGACTCTGGAGGTCTCTCTGGGTGCTTTGTCCTCGTTTGACTTAATTCTGCTTCAACTTCAGCCACATTAATTTTGAAATGAATGCCCTCTAGGATCTGTGTACATTTGTCGATAATATGCTGCATCTGCAAAAAACTAGCGGCTGTTAGATAGCTGATAATATCTGCTAGTTGCAGGCATATCCGCCCCGTGTAACAGAAAGAAAGGAGCTCTTCAAAAACAGTAGGGTTCTTGATGACAGAAATGGACACAGTACTCATTTCATTCAAGGACATGTGATCTCGGAAATAAGGAGAGCTGGCAGCCAGTACTACTTTGTGAGCCCGAAAAGCTTGTCCTTGCACATTGACCACAATATCACAGAGACGGCCTTGCATTCGTAGCTGGTTGAGGTGGCTCAGAACAGAGTTGCTGAAGTCAGGGATCTCCAATTGTATGTTCCCACTTTTCTCCATGGTCATGCCTGAAAGTACAGGCAGACATTCAACCCTGCTGAAAGAGCAAACCATATTCTTAGCACCAGTTTTACTCCTTTTGTGCTTTCTAGTTCAAACATCCCTAAAAATGTAAAATCTCATGGCCAGGAATGCCAGGCACACATAGGTAATTTTAACACGTGGTGCCAAGGCAGGAGAATCCGTCTACATAAGCGAAAATTTGTCCCAGAAAAAACTGAAATCTCTATATATGAAGAGGTACCTTCCTTATGATGCTTGGATGTAGAAATAGAATTGCCAGCAGGTATTTTGTTTTGTTAGCAACAAGGTTTCACTCTAAGGCAGCCCTCAAACTTATGGCATGCTCCTGCTCCAACCTCCCAAGTACTAGTATTAGTGTGAACAGCTAAGCCTGGCATCAGGTGTTTTAGATCTCACTGTAAAATGCAATCAAAACAACAAAAAAGTGATTGCTAGACTGCTAAAAATTCAAGCTACAATCACACTTATTAATAAGCTATATAACATCAAGATCGTTCATCAAGGAGGGGAATCGAACACAAAGATTTCAGACTGAATACAAAAATCCATCATCTTTTTCAAGAGAAAATACATTTCAGAATAAATGTAATTATACACAGCTTGATTATAATTTACATGTGGCACAGGCTGTTTATGACTATAAAGTGACATATTTCCTATGTGAATGGTCAGTATTACCACTTGTTTTCAAGACAGGGTTTCTCTGTGTAGCTAGTCCTCGCTATCCTGGAACCTGCTTTGTAGAGCAGGCTAGCCTGGAACTTAGAGATGTACTTGGGATTAAGCCACCACACCCAGCACTGTTTGTTTGAGACCTATGTAGCCCTGGCTATTCCTGGAAACTCACTATGTAGCTCAGGCTGGTCTCTAACTCAGAGATCTGACTGTCTCACCTGAGATTAAAGAATGCTGGTGTTAACAGGTGAACCATCACCACCATGCCAGGCTAGGCAAAAATTAAATCTTTCTCTACCCAACAAAACTACTAAGTAAGTCTTTCTCTACTCAAAAAACTCGAGGTTGGGAATTCCGAAGTGGCAATGATACTTTAATTCAAGGATGTTGGTTCCCACAGCTGACAAGAATAAAGCCTGAAATTTTACACTACAGTACTGCAACTGCATCAAACAGTCTCAGTTGAGAGTAGTTCGGGTGTATCACGACTGTGGCTCATTGTGCATCCAATTTGTCTCTAAATTTATGAGACTACACAACACATCAGGAAGGTCCTGACAAGCTCACATCATCACCCCGCATTTACAACACTTGTTGAGTAAATAGGGAAGTGCAAACACTGCTTTCAAGTAGCAACTTTAACCAATCTGACCTTTTTCCAAAGCGTTATTGTTTGTTTTGAAACTTTTAATCCATTAAGAGCCTCTGTCGATGCCATCACGAATTCAGATGTTTATTTTTGGAGCCTACACCAGCGCCTTTTTGTTTGCTCTTTTGAGGAGGAAGCCCCTGGAGTAAAGTCTTTCTCTAGCGTCGGCCCTGGAGGGGCGAGAGCTGTAAAAGGGAGAATCGGGAACGCTTGGGGTTGGCCAGTCAGGTACTGGAGCAGCTTCCGTGTATGTTAGGGAGCATGGGAAAAGGGGACCTGGCTAAGCGGGCAGGGAGATGGCACAGAACCCGGGAAGAAGAGAGCAGGATGCGCGGCCAAACAGGAGCAGGCGCACAGGTGAGGCGCCGGAGGGGGAAGGGGGCGGCGCCCCGGGACCCGGTGCAGGCGGCGGAGGCGGCCGCGGTGGGGGTGTGTCTGGGTGTGTCCCCGCCGCGGGGTCCTGAGGGAGGGGCTCGCAAGGGGGCGGGCCCGCAAGCTCTGCAGCCCCGAGCCAAAGAGGCGGGGAAGGTCGCCGAGTGCTTGGAGGGGAGGTGGAGCGGAGCCGCTGCACGCCCCAGGAGCTGGCTGCAGCCGAGACGCGGCCAAGGAGCGTCCGGTAGACGCTAACGGGGCGGGGGTGCGGGGCCCGAGCCCAGGCAAGGAACAGCACCTACCTCCGGGGGTGGAAATGGGCCGGAATGGGCCGGAACACCGTCCCGGAAGTGAAACCCCCCGCCCCCTCCTCCGGAACGGGCGACGTGCCGGAAGGAAATCAGTCACCCTCACACCGCCCCTCCCCCCAGCGCTTTCCTTACAGGAGCCCCCCTCCCCTCAGCTCTGTCTCCTCAGGGAGGCAGAGGCCGGGCTTGACGTGCTCGCGGCGACTCCGCCCTCCGGGCGCTGTAGGGCGGGGCCAGCGGGAGAACTTGAGGGCGGGTAAAGGGGTGGGGCTTGAGGAGGAGTCTGAGGGGACTGGGCGGGACTGGGACGCCGCGGAGGACCTTGCGTCGTGACGTCAAAGAGACCTTATATACCGGACTCACCCGCCATATCGGCCTTTCGGAGCTGCGAGACGACGCGGTGCAGGTAGGTGTCCCTTGTGTTCTGGCAGTTTTAGGCCTTGTCGGCGAGTGGTTTTCAGGCGAAGCCACGTCAAATGGCGCAGTCTCAGTTGTGAGCTTGTAAGGCCCATAGGCAGGAGATTCCGGGAGCTTGGCGCTGTGTGTGCATGCTTGACCTACGTGTTTTTTTTTTGTTAAATCGAAGAGTCTCCGTAGGAAACTCGGCACCCGTGTTCTCGCTATGATGAAGGCTATGTTGGTAGGGACAACTGACTATGTTGATGAATACCAACGGCTCTGATGGCGGAGCGTGCTGAGTCACCGCGAGAGGCCTTTTGTAGTGGTTGGCTTTTTTTTCGCGCGTGGGGATGAGGAACGCGCAGTCCTACGGGCTGATTTTTCGAGATCACGAGGTTGAAGGCGTTCGCCAACACTGCCTCAGTAGGCCTTTGAGTGTCCTCCAGCTGAGCCATGAAAAATGGCTATGGAAGGAATTTACTAAATTAATAAATTGCCTGCTTTAGTATATGGGGGCTTTTTTTGTGGGAGTAAAACTGGTAGTTGAAAGACAACTAAATTATCAAATTTCTTTTAGGCATGCTGCTGTGGACCGCTCTGGTGCTCTTGGTGGCATCCCACAGACAGGTAAGACCTGACGAGAGGCGGGAGGCTATCTTAAAACACTGCCAAAGCCCATGATGGTATGAGAGTAGTGGACAGAAGGGATTTCTGAAAAACACTGTTCTGAGGCTTTAGTTCTGGGAGACAGAAGGGAAAACCCTATGAAGAGGGGGGGTCTCATGGACATCTTTCTTTTTCTTCTAGTTGGGACACAAAGATGGATGAAGAGGGAGAGGTAAGAACAGAAATGTGCAGTGGCAGGAAAGTCCAAAAGACCAGTGCCACAATGATGACAGCTTATTTGCTACTCTTGACAGTGGGGTGACGAAAACCATAAACCACCATAATTGTAACTGAGGCATGCGGCATTGGTTAGACAGTCTCTTCTATGATAAACAGAGTTTACATTAAGCTTTTATTTTTCCAGGACCTATGGAAGAACTCGGATTAACAATGGGTAAGAAGCATTTTGGTAGTGATAACCCAAAGGAAAGGCTGGCAAATGAGCAAATTGGGGGTCCCCTGGCCAAAATGATCTAATGTAGACAGACACTTGAATGGAGCACTTTGAGAGGACAAACGGGTGGGAGGTCCAGGGCCAAGCAGGTCGTTGCTGGTCTGAAGAGGGTCTTTGCATTTGTGAGAACTAGTTATCTCCACATAGGTCTTACCCAGTGCCGTAATGGTGGGTGATGGGCCTGAGTTTTACTCTGGGCCTAGATCTGGCAAAGTGCTCAGTCAGCCCATGTAAGGTTGATAGAGGTTGTCATTAAAATAGTGCCCTTTCCTCATGTTGGCACACTAATCTTGGGAGACAGCACTACAAAGTGAGTTCCCGGATGGCCAGAGCTGTCTCTAAAAGGGTAGTAGCATGGCTAGACTTAATCATGTAGGGATTCACCATTTTGTGGCAGTTTTCTGGTGATTTAACTCCTACCTGTTTGGAATTGCAGGTGCTGTTACTGGCAACTTGAAGATACAATGTGAGTAGAGTTACAGGAATTGTAGATAGTGGGCAAACATGGCTTGGTATGGGTTTTGCGTAGTAAGAACTCTTGCTATGCTATGTGTTGTCTTTGAATTGGGCCTGCATGATGACAAGCAAATGCTGACTAACATGAAGGTCTTAATTAGCTCTATCTGATACGGGCTTGGTTAGGTTTTGGGGGGACAAAATTGTATCTTTAGACTGCTGAAATTCTGAATTTTTTTAGGTGTTCAAATTGTCTGGACAACTTGTCATTTAAGTAAGTATTGGAAACACTGGCCAATTTGTTTAAAGAGGCATGCCATGCATGTAGTTTTCATACCTGGTGTGTATTGTCTCATGTTTGCTTGGGACCATTCTAGTCAGGGTTTTTGTAATGATGCTGATCCAAATGTCTGACCTGAAAATAACTTGTAGACAGCAAATTGAACACTGAAGAACCCTGTGACAGGCAACTAAGAATAATTGAATGATGCTAGCATGTTTCTAAGAGGTGTTTTTTTTAATTCTAGTTACTGGTTGCATGTTTTCATTTGGATGGCTTGCTTTGGTAAGAAGCCAGTTACTGGGCGCTTAGTTTATGCTAATGGGTAGGGTCATTTGCAGTATTATGCAACAGCTAATTCTTAGTACAGCGTTAAATTTTAAAAAGCTACCCTTTTTTAGGTATGAATTCTGCTTCATACCAGAAGAGGGCATCAGATCCCATGATGGAGTTACCATGTGGTTACTGAGAACCCTGGACCACTGGAAGAGCAGCCAGTGCTCCAAATTGGCATTTTAAATGAAGGTAAGGAAGCACTTTTGTAGATATAACGGTTTAGGAATACATGCTACTGTTAGTGATGATGTATAAAGTTAAACAGATGGGAATCTCTCTGAATAAGATTGAAGATTAATTCTTAAGCTGAAACAGTAGTTAGCGAATTTGTATAAGTCTTTTACAAATGTCTGTGAAACTAAATAAAACTAAATTTCTGTAGGTATCAGCATGGCTCCAGTTAAATGAAGGCACATCTACCTTCCACAATGGTAAGTGTCTTGACTGCATGTATGAAAGTGTTTAATTTGACAATTCCCCAATAAATGCCGATACTGTGATGATAACATAGTTCAGCAGACTTAACCTGATGAACAATCCTAAAGTCTTTCGCTCCTATCTGATGTATCTGGCTGTAAAGATTTAAATGCTAGTTTTGCTAGTATAATGTGGAAGTTAGGTATTTGTGATTGGTAAGACAAGCACTTTTGAAGCCTTAGCTTTAGACGTGGCTTCATACTAGCTCGTTAAAGTCCTGGCTATTACTGAGTGTAGATTCCTACCTACATGGGGTTGTAACCATAAGATCTCAGGCCTCTTGGCAAAAGAATAGTTAGAAAGTTCATCTAGACTATTGTCCAAAGAATAGTGTAAAATGCACTGAGTGGTTAAGAAAATTCTGGGCTAATAATTTTTTCTTACCTTCAAACAGATCCCTCATTTTGAATCTCAAGGTAAGTTTGCTTTTTTTGTAAAAACTTAATTTTTGCCAGTAACCGGTGATGTGATGATTCTGCCAAATGATACATAGTGATATCACCTTTAAAACCGTTCCATTTTATTTCTGAGGTTACTATAGTAACATGTAACATGTAAACTACAATTTGTCTACGCAAGATAGACATTTGTTTTTTTTGTCTTTTAGAGCTCCTGTGGCAGAAATGGACAGGCAATCTACTGTCATTTTCATCTCATTGAAAAGGTGAGAATCGGAAATAGTAACCGTGAGGATAGCATGGGGACAAAGAATATATGAAACCTCCAGAATATGTGATGATCTCACCACAACTTGAACTCTCTCACTGATTACTTGATGACAGTAAAAGATCTGATATTCTGTGTAACTGGTTACAATTTACATTGGAATGTAGAAATGTGCCTAATCAGGTACCTCTGTTGCAGGTGACTGGATGGAGGCTCAGGGAGAAGATAACTTCAGGTGTAACCCCTTCATAAGAATGTTACCAAAATAAATATAATGGAATTGAATAAAGTGCATGTTGCTTTCTAATAGCAGAGGACTGAGTGTGGTATTTACAACAGACTGCTCAGGCATGGGTTTAAGTCCATAGAAGGTCATCATCCCCAGCTAGACCTTTGTAAGATGCTGTGTTCAGTCGTTGGTTAGCTCCCTAGAATTTCAAGGACATGTGTTACAGATGAACATTGGACTGGAGAATTCTCAATCTCGGGTGTTACCTTATGGTTCTCAATAGCTGTTACAGGCAATGAGAAATTGACCAGGACACAATGGCATTGTTAAGGGTTCTAAACACAAACTGGAAAACCACTGTATACAGTATCGCCACTGTCTTAGAATACATATTGAGTCACCAGGCTGCCAGAACTCTGCTTTACTCTGCCTCCTGAGTGGCAATATGCCACCATGGTACAGCTAGAAACAACTTAGTTCGTGGGGATGGTGGAAACAAATGGGTTGCTAAAGGGTCTAGTGTGCACAGGATCTACAGTGAAATGTTAACTGCAACACTTGAATGCTGGGGTGTGAGCATGAGAGCCCTTCCTGGTTTTCTTCACCACCTGGTATGGTTTCAAGCTTGTTCAGCTGAGGCTGCCTGAATACTTCATTCCTCAAATGTAAGGAGTTGGGCATGTCTGCAATCCAAACAAATTTTAGGAGGTATTCCATATATAGCAATGTCTAGTGTTTAGTCCCTGGAGCCGTTTAAAATTTGAGCATGCCAGAAGTGGAGGCAAGCAGGAGTAAGGCCAGTTGGGGTTCCTTGAGAAACCGGTAGTCTTCAGGCTGATTTTGGAGGTGAATTAAGGTCATGCTGCTTTATTAGGTGGCTGAGTGCATACCTTTAATCGCTGAGACAAGCAGGCTGCTCTACAGAGAATTCTAGAAAGCCAAAGCTACACACAGGGAAGGTCTCAAAAACCTAGGCTGGGTGGTGATGGTGCACGCCTTTAATCCCAGGACTGGGAGGCAGAGAGGCAGGAAGTAAATGGTCCACACATGTTCTGTGAGGGCTCCAAAAGTACACAGAGGAACCCTGTCTCCAAAACAAACCGAAACCAGGGTGTATATATATATATATATATATATATATATATGTAATGACTTTGGAGGATGGGGGTGGGATGGATAGGGTTATGGGACCTGGGTGCTCCACCGGGCTCTGCGTAGTCCCCTGGGAAGGGGACAGAAACTGGAGTAGGTAGTCTGACTTGGCTGGGACTGAAACTAGATTGATTTGAAGAGGTGAAGGATGCATGACGAGCATTCAAGTTCCAGCCTCAGCTCTGTCAGGGTCCAGGCTAGGGACTGGACAGGGTAGGCTTTTCTAAAGCGAGGGGGAGGGAAATAAACTGGCCCACACATGTTGCTCTCATGGCTCCAAAATGTTTTCCCTAAGTTCTCTCTCAAAAGCTCTCTAAAAATTCCTTATAAGTTCTCCTGAGGTCTCTCCTATTCCACATGGCTTCTAGTTTTTATACCCACAGGCAACATTTAAGAACACGCGGACAATAGGGCATGCATCTCTCAGCCAGGTAGGACTTGAGAAAAGCAGAAGACTCACATCTCTCCCCTGGATGTGACTAGCAACATGAAAGCTCTGTATCAGGGGCAAACTTTCCCCTGTAGTGTGAGATCCAGAGGCTGCAACTATTGATAACCCTGTGAGAAGGAATTCCTTTCTCTGGGGCCTATTTGAGAACACAAAGCACTCTATATATTTCACATACAGCCAAATTCGTAGGAACATATTCGTGAGTTGGTACCTAGAATATTAATTGCTACTAATGTAATAAGTGATAATGACTTCCAACACTTGCCCACCTGCTTCTCTGGCCTATGGGTTCTCAGTTGGAACAAAGCAATGAGTTGGCAAGTTTTGAGGGGTAAAAATCTCTGTGTGTAGGCTGCAGCAGATGGTCTGAGCTGGGGATAAGTTGGGGAATGATTTTGTTGAAGCTGAGAGATAAAGATCTACAGTTAGCTTCCCTGTCTGGAGTGGTCAGAGTTCCCACAGAGTGGGGGTGGGGGTTAGAAGGGGAAAATCTGTGTGATCCACAGGAGAGGGGGAGGGGAGGGAGAAGCTGAGCAGGAGGTCTGTTACAGAGCTAGAGGTGAGACTGGGAGGCTGGATTTGGAGGAATGGCCTGCAGGTTACCATGGAATGCCTACAGGTGTTTATTTTACTGTTTATATCAACAGAACTTGAAATCCCAGTAATCTTCAGAAGTTGTGTGTGTGTGTGTGTGTGTGTGTCACAGGTTGATTGATGTTGGGTGTGTTCCTTGATTTCTATCTTAATGATACAGGTCTAGTCACAGTGAACTAGGAACTTTTCAGTTACTCTGACTGGCTTGGAGCTTTGGGAATCTGCCTGTCTCTTCAGTGCTCGTATTGTTGATGTTTCTCATCACATCTGGGTCATGGAGATCTGAACTACATTTCCTATTCTTAAGCTCATCTTACTGATTAGCCATCTCCCCAGCCAGCCCATATTTTTAGATCCTTTTTCCATTTATTTGTGTGTTATGTATACATGTGAGTAGAGCTCAGAGAACAACTTAGAGGAGCCTGTTCTTTCACCATGTGGAGTCCACATATCAAATCCAGGTCTTCAGATCTGAAGGCAAATACCGTTACCCGGTGAGCCATCTTGCTTGCCTGTGGTCTTTTTGGAAACAGTTTCATTGTGTTGCCTTGGCTGGCTTGGGACTTACTGTGTAGACCAGGTCAGTCCCAAACTCACAGACATCTGCCTGCCTCTGCCTCCCTAGTGCTGGGATTAAAGGCATGCACCACCAACGCCCAGCTTGGCACATACTTTTTTTTTTTTCCCATTTTTTTCGAGACAAGGTTTCTCTGTGGCTTTGGAGGCTGTTCTGGAACTAGCTCTTGTAGACCAGGCTGGTCTCGAACTCACAGCGATCCGTCTGCCTCTGTCTCCCAAGTGCTGGGATTAAAGGTGTGTACCACCACTGCCCGGCAGCACAGACTTTTTTAAAAGACTTTTTTTCTGTAGTTCCTTAAATTTCTCACAGAACACAGATCTAACCTTTCTTATAGGGATGTGTTATATGCCAGTTGTTGGAGCCTATTATTTTTATAGAACCAAAAGAGATAATGGAAACTAGTTGCCAAATAGGTACTCACTTGAGCACTGCCACAGTGAGCCTTTAGTTTTGTTGTATTTGGGTGTGATGCTGGTTATTGAACTCGAGTTGTGTACATTCTATACAAGTGCTCCTACCACTCAGCGGCTATAGTTTGAATAAGAATGGCCTCATAAGCTCATATATTTGAGTGCTAAATCACCAGGGATTGGCACTTTTTGAATGGATTAGGAGGTGTGGCACTGTTGGAGGAAGTGTGTCACTGTCTTTGCGAGATCCAGTGTGTCTCTTGCTGCCTGCAGATCAAGATGTAGAACTCTTATTATGTATACAGTGATGTGTCTGAATGTATCCCTGCATGCCAAAAGAGGGCACCAGGTCTCATTACAGATGGTTGTGAGCCATCATGTGGTTGCTGGGAATTGAACTCAGGACCTTTGTTAAGTCCACCTAGTGTTCTTAGCCACTGAGCCATCTTCCAGCCCAGGTTGTAGAAGTCTTAACTACTTCTCTAGCACCATGTTTGTGGGTGTGCTTGCTCCACTGATTATGGGCTGACCTCTGTAAGAGAGCCCCAACTAAATTGTTTTTTTTTTTATAAGAGTTGCATTGGTCATGGAGTCTCCTCACTGCAATAGAACAATGACAAAGACAGCTTTGTTTCTAGCGCTGCTTTACCTCCTGATTCCGGCAACAAGGGCCCTGTAAGATAGCCAGGACAAATGTCAATCACATATAAGCAGCATGAAAGGCTAAGAAAAGCTTGTAACTTGCTGAAGGTGCAATTCTGAATAGAATTTTATGACTTTAAAAATTCTACCATGTAGCCGGGTGTTGGTGGTGCACGCCTTTAATCCCAGCACTAGGGAGGCAGAGGCAGGCGGATCTCTGTGAGTTTGAGGCCAGCCTGGTCTACAGAGTGAGTTCCAGAACAACCTCCAAAACAATACAGAGATACAGAGAAACCCTGTCTCAAAAAAATAAAAAATTCTACCATGTTAGTTCTTAGTATATTATATTGATAGCAAAAAGGTCACCATA